CTCTGAGAACGGAGTGGGCGCGTCCTCAGGTCCTTGCCGAATCCCCGGGGCCGCAGTCCTCAAACCTGAAGAATCTTTACCAGGGCCCGGCCCCCGGGACTTCCGGCGCACCCTCTGGGCTCAAGACCACCCCAAGAACCCCCCAAGACCAAAAGAGGCCCCGAGAGGCCTCAAAATAGCCCACAAGAGGCGTCCAGACTGCCTTCAAGAGGCCCCCGAGAGACCTCCCACGAGACCCCAACGAACATCCAATAGGCTTCGCACCCACAACCCAGACACGGTGGCGGGATGAGCCGAAGGACATTAGACGTGGGCCTGCATGGGAACGGAAAGAGCGCTTCAGAGATGACTCATGGCACCCTTCGCTCTTGGGAGCCTTGGTGTTAAGAGCTTGTTGCGTCGCCGCTCGTTCTTGGGAGCCTTGCTGGCAAGCGCGTGTTACGTCACCGTTCTGCCTTGCTGGAAAGAGCTTGTTGCGTCACCGCTCTCTGTTCAGAGTCCTCGTGCCCAGAGATGCTTACGACGTTGCGGCTCGGTCTTGGGAGACTTGGTGGTAAGAGCTTGATGCGTCACCGCTCGTTCTTGGGAGCCTTGCTGGTAAGCGCGTGTTACGTCACCGCTCTCTGTTTGGAGCCTTGCTGGGAAGAGCTTGCTGCGTCACCGCTCTCTGTTCAGAGGCCTCGTGCCCAGAGATGCTTACGTTGCCGCTCGGTCTTGGGGGACTTGGTGGTAAGAGCTTGTTGCGTCACCGCTCGTTCTTGGGAGCCTTGTTGATGAGCGCGTTCAGAGTCCTCGTGCCCAGAGATGCTTACGTTGCCGCTCGGTCTGGGGAGCCTTGGTGGTGAGAGCTTGTTGCGTCACCGCTCGTTCTTGGGAACCTCCTCCTGACACCTTCTCCTCCTCCTTCTCCTCCTCCTCCTCCTCCTCCTCCTCCTCCTCCTCCTACTCTCCCTCCTCCTATTTTGGGCATCTTGGGAGGTCTTGGGTCCGTCTGGGGGCCCTCTTGGACCGTTTTGGGCTCCTTTGGGGCGCCCCTGGGGCCGTCTTGGTTCGATCTTTGGGGCCTCTTGGGCCGTCTGGGGCCCTTCTGGGACTGAGAAGGGGAGACCCCGAAAAACCTACAAAAGCTCTAGGGAAATCAATGTTTGTGGGACTCTTGGGCTGTCTTTGGGCCAGCCCAGTCCCTGCATCCAAGCAGCCCAGGCTCCATACCGCCTCTTTGGGCCCGCTTGGAAGCCTCTTGGGGCCCTCTTGGGGCTCTCTTGGGGCCCTCTGGGGGCCATCTTGGGCCGTCTTGGGGCCCTCATGGGCCGCCTGGGGCCCTCTTGGATAGTTTTCGGCCCTTCTGGCTCTGGGGCCGTCTTGGGACAATCTTTGGGGCATCTCGGGCCGTCTTGGGCTCGTCTGGGCGCCCTCTTGGACCATTTTGGGCCCCTTGGGGGCGCCTCTGGGGCCGTCTTGGTTCGATATTTGGGGCCTCTTGGGCCGTCTGGGGCCCTTCTGGGACTGAAAAGGGGAGAACCCGAACAACCTGCAAAACCCTAGGGAAATCAATGTGTTTGGCATCCTGAGGCCCTCTCGGAGGCCCTCTTGCGGGCCTCCGGAACCGTCTCGAGACTCCTTTGGACCGTCTGGAGGCCATCTGAAGCTCTCTTGCGGCCGTCTTGGGGCCCTCTGACGCCGATTTGGGGCCCTCTTGGGCCGTCTGGGGGCCCTCTGGCAGGTTTACCCGGAAAGATATAAAGAAACAGGCAATGGGAGCCGCCCGGGAGCCGCTTCACTCGAAAAACAATAAATACAAAAACAGGCCCTTAGAATATCCTGCGCCCGCCTCGCCTCTCCCCTGGACCCCTCCCTAGACGGCTTCGCCCCAACTCAACATACATTGCTCATACCTCGCTCTTTCCGTCACCTGGGCCGGCACGGAAACGGAAAGAGCGCCTCAGGAACTTGCCCGAGAGGGTTCATGGCACCCTTCGCTCTTGGGAGCCTTGGTGTGAAGAGCGTGTTACGTCGCCGCTCTCCGTTGTGAGCCCTGGTGTTCAGAAACTGTTACGTTGCCGCTCGCTCTTGGAAGCCTTGGTGTGACGAGCTTTTGACGTCACCTTGGGAGCCTCGGTGTCAAGAGCTTGTTTACGTCGCCGCTAGCTGATGGGAGCCATGGTGTTCTTGAGCGTCCCTTGGGCCTCGTCGGGGTCTTCTTAGGGCCCTTTTGGAGCCCTTTGGGGACCCTCTGGGACAATGTTGGCCCGTCTGTGGGCCCTTCGGGGACGTCTTGGGCTCTTGAATAGTTTTCCGCCTCCTGGGGCCGTCTTGGGACGAGCTTTGGGACCTCGTGGGCCGTGCTGAGCCAGTCTGAGCCCGAAAAGGCGAGAATCCCAAAAACATTCAGAAGCCGTCGGGGAATCAATGTTTTTGGGCTCCTGAGGACCTCTCGAGGGCCCTGTGGAGGGTCTCTGGAGCCGTCTCGAGGCTCCCTTGGACCGTCCGGAGGGAATCCGAAGCTCTCTCGGGGCCGTCTTTGGGTCGTTTTGGCGCTCTCTGGGGTCGTCTTTGGGCCCTTGAGCCACTTCACTCAACAAAAATATTAGGACACGGGCCATGGAAGGCGCCCGGGCACCGCGAAAAAATAACGAAAGAAACAGCCCCCTGGCGGCCATGAACCGGAGCATTCCGCGCCTCCCCCCCCCTCTGCACTCACCCTCGGGTGGCGCAAGCGCCCAACTCAACGTACATTCCTCATATCTCGCTCTTTCTGTCACCGGGGCTGGCACGGAAACGGAAAGAGCGCCTCAGGAACTGGCCGGGAGAGTTCATGGCACCCTTCGCTCTTGGGAGCCTTGGTGTGAAGAACTTGTTACGTCACCACGCTCTGGGGAGCCTCGGTGTCAAGAGCTTGTTACGTCACCGCTCGTGTTCTTGAGCGTCTCTTGGGCCTCGTCGGAGTCTTCTTGAGGCCGTTTTTGAGCCCCTCGGGAGCCCTTTGGGGGCAATTCTGGGCCGTCTTGGGGCACTTTTGTGCTTGCTAGGGGCGTCTTGGAGACCTTTGGCCGTCTTGGGGCTCTCTTGGGGGCCTCTTGGGGCCCTCTTGGAAGCCTCTTTGGGCCTCTAGGGGCTCTCTTGGGGCCGTCTTGGGGCTCTCTTGGGGCCCTCTTGGGGCCATCTGGGGCTGTTTTGGGGTACGCTTGGGCTGTCTGGGAGCCCCCTTGGACCGTTTTCTGCCTCTTTGGGGGGCCTCTGGTGCCGTCTTGGGACGAGCTTTGGGACCTCGTGGGCCGTGCTGGGCCCATCTGGGTCCGAAAAGGCGAGAACCCGAAAAACCTTAAAAAAACCATCGGGGAATCAATGTTTTTGGGCTCCTGAGGACCTCTCGAGGGCCCTCTGGAGGGTCTCTGGAGCCGTCTCGAGGCTCCCTTGGACCGTCTGGAGGGAATCCGAAGCTCTCTCGGGGCCGTCTTTGGGTCGTTTTGGTGCCCTCTGGGGTCGTCTTGGGGCCCTTGAGCCGCCCCACTCGAAAGATACAAGGAGACAGACCGTGGAAGGCGCCCGCGAGCCGCTCTGATCGAAAAACTGCAGAAAAAGGAAACGGCCCCCCATCGGCCATTAAAGAGGGGGGCTGGCCATGAACCGGAGAATTCCGCGCCTCCGCCTCCCCCCCCCTCTGCACTCCCCCTGGGGGGCGCAAGCGCCCAACTCAACGTACATTGCTCGAACCTCGCTCTTTCCGTCACCTGGGCCGGCGCGGAAAAGGAAAGAGCGCCTCCGGAACTGGACCGGGAGGGTTCGTGGCACCTTCGCTCTTGGGAGCCTTGGTGTGAAGAGCCTGTCACGTCGCCGCTCTCCGTTGGGAGCCCTGGTGTTCAGAGACTGTTACGTTGCCGCCCGCTCGCTCTTGGGAGCCTTAGAGCGATGAGCTTTTTACGTCACCGCTCGCTCTTGGGAGCCTTGATGTCACGAGCCTGTTACGTCACCGCTCGCTGATGGGAGCCATGGTGTTCTTGAGCGTCTCTTGGGCCTCGTCGGGGTCTTCTTGGGGCCCGTTTGGAGCCCTTTGGGGGCCCTTGTGGACGACTGTTGGCCTGTCTTGGGGCCCTTTGGGACTCTCTTGGGGCGTCTTGGAGGCCTTTGGCCGTCTTGGGGCTCTGTTGGGGGCCTCTTGGGGCATTATTGGGAACCTCTTTGGGCCCTCTTGGCCCTCTTGGGCCGTCTTGCCCGTCTTTGGCTTCTTGAGGCCCTCTTGGGCCGTCTTGGCTCCCTTTTGGGCCGTTTGGGCCCCTCTTGGGCCGTTTGGGGGCCCTCTTGGACCGTTTTCGGGCCCTCCAGGGTGTCTCTTGGGCCATCTTGGGCCATTGTTTGGGGCCGATTGGGCTGTTGTGGATCGTTCTTGGCCTGCGAAAGCAAGAGTCCCAAAAGCCTGCAAAAACGCTAGAACAAAAAACAATGATTTTTGCCCCTGGGGGCCCTCTCGGAGGCCCTCTGGAGGGCCCCTGGAGCCGTCTTGAGGCTCTCTTGGACCGTCTGGAGGCCATCTGAAGCTCTCTTGGGGCCGTCTTGGTGCCCTCTGGGGCCGTTTTGGAGCCCTCTTGGGCCGTCTTGGAGCCCTCTGGTCGTTTCACTTGGACAAAAAATAGGGCCATGGGAGGCGCACGGTAGCAGCTTCACTCGACAAACATACAAGGAACGCTGGCCATTACCACTCATCTCCGCCCGTCTCGCCTTCCCCCTGAACCCCTCCCTAGACTCGAGGGCGAACGGAAACAGCGGACCAGGAACGTGCCCGAGACGGCTCACGGCACCCTTCGCTCTGGGGAGCCTTGGTGGTAAGAGTTTGTTACGTCACCGTTCGCTCTTGGGAGCCTCGGTCAGAAGAGATGTTTACGTTGCGGCTCGTTATGGGGAGCCTTGGTGTTCAGAGCTTGTTACGTCACCGCGCTCTGGGGGAGTGTTGGTGTTCAGAGCTTGTTACGTCACCGCTCGCTGTTGGGAACCATGATGTTACT